TACCTTCCCCGTATTTTGAACGATTTGGTCACATTTTCTAATTGAAGTGGCTGTTAGTTGGCATTCAACAACATTTTAAGGTATTTTCAATATGTGACCTTTTTTCCATCCGAAAAACTTTAATTTGGGACTCCAGGTTTTTAATAGGTAAAAAATTCCTTATAGAAAAGTTTCAATGTCCAGACATAGCTCAAATAGAGACAGTTTTTAATGTAGATCAATGTTTTTAAATAACCCCCTATCAGTTCGTCCACAGAGACTCCCTTCAGTTCAGCTATAAATACTGTGTGCATCTGGTCTATAAAGACCCCCTTCATTTCCTCTATAATAGGCTCCCTTTAGCTCGTCTATAAAGACTACCTTCAGCTCGTCTATAAAGACTCCCTTCAGCTCGTCTATAAAGACTCACTTCAGCTCGTCTATAAAGCCTCCCTTCAGCTCGTCCATAAACACTCTCTTCAGCTCGTCTATAAACACTCCTTCAGCTATTCTATAAACACTCCCTCCAGCTCGTCTATAAAGACTACCTTCAGTTCGTCTATAAAGACTCCCTTCAGCTCGTCTATAAAGACTCCCTTCAGCTCGTCTATAAAGACTCCCTTCAGCTCGTCTATAAAGACTCCCTTCAGCTCGTCTATAAAGACTCCCTGCTTCAGCTCGTCTATAAAGACTCCCTGCTTCAGCTCGTCTATAAAGACTCCCTGCTTCAGCTCGTCTATAAAGACTCCCTGCTTCAGCTCGTCTATAAAGACTCCCTGCTTCAGCTCGTCTATAAAGACTCCCTGCTTCAGCTCGTCTATAAAGCTCCCTGCTTCAGCTCGTCTATAAAGACTCCTGCTTCAGCTCGTCTATAAAGACTCCCTGCTTCAGCTCGTCTATAAAGACTCCCTGCTTCAGCTCGTCTATAAAGACTCCCTTCAGATCTATACAGACCTCCTTCAGCTCATCAATAGAGACCTCATCAATAGAGACCTCCTTCAGCACTCCAACAGAGACTCCCAGTTCGTCTATAAGAAGTCCTTCAGCTCTTCAACAGAGACTCCGAGTTCACCTATAGAGACCTCTTTCAGCTCATCAATAGAGACCTCCTTCAGCTCTAAATGTATGTAAATGTCTAGAAATACAGTTCGTGTACAGTGGCTTCCGTAAGTTCTTCTATAACGACTCTCTCCAGCTTACCTATAGACAACAGATGTTAATAGAAATTAATTAAAATCATTTTTGCTAAACTTATTTGCTTTTTTCATCCATCAACGAATCAACACAAATTATGTGAGCGAAGAAAACAAAAAGAACGATGAAAGGGAGATATTCTAATTAACTGTCTAGGAATCGGAACTATAAGGGTTGCCCTGGTCGTGAACAGGATTGTCCTAGTTGTCCTCTTTATCTAGTCACCTGATCGCCTATAAAAACTCTCTTCAGACTTAATTCAGCTCGTCTGTATATATTTTATGCAGATCGTTTATATAGACTGCCTTCCACTCGTCTTTCGTTCGTCAATAGATACTGTCTTCAGATCGTCTATGAAGGTTGCCATCAATAAGTCAAATAATTTATATTATTTGAAAATTCAATACGACATTGTAAAAATAATCAATACACAACCTAAATCAATTCAAATAAGACGGGTGTTTTCCGTTTACTTAGTAAATATGTGTGACTATGTGTGCTCGGCATTTGTGTGTTTTTTGTCGTACCATCACTTCTATATTCCCTGAAGGAAATGTGGGGTGTTGTATCGCCTTTGTCTACTATTGTGGCGACAACAACTTGTCTACATATCATGTAATAAGAAGAAGCATTTGTTATGTTAACAACCAACTGAGCATATGCTTCTTCTTTTTTTCTTTAATATATTTATAATTAAAGAAAAAAAAGTTGGCGGCAATAGACAGATATTTTGTTAAAAACGCGAGTTTAAAGTTATTAATGGTAATAATTAAATTAATTAATTAATTGGTGAAAAAATTTTTGAGCAAAAGAAATTATAAAAAATTTACAAGTGACATATGTGACCTTTAGTCTATATATACAAACTATTATATACTGACCGTGTCCACATATGCGACGCTGTGTCTATATCTAAAAACTACTGACTTACTACTGACCAAGTCACTAGTTCATTTCCAATGACAAGCACATGTTAAATGTCAATAGTAAAATGCATTGTGTTGGGTATAGTCGGTCAACAGTATTGGTGACAATGCCAATAGTAAGTCAATACTGATTTACTGTAGACATTTCCTACAGGGTTTGAACGGTCGTTGTTGTTGTTTTTGTTTTATGTTCAGTATATTTAATAAGCATGCGTGCCTTTTTGCATTTTATGCTAATGCAATACTATCAATGTTATATAGCCAATATAGTATTTCGATAGCAACAACAAAACCAACTGATTATTTAATTTCAACGCTTGATTTGTTTGCTTTGGATATTGGCTTTGAATATTCTTAAACTGGCATAAAGTGTCTTTATATATGCTTTACCATCACTGTGTATGTATGTGTGTGTGTTTGTTTGGCTGCCTTTTAATTTAAATTAAAAAAATAGTAGTCGTACTACTATTACCCCCCTTCTAGATTTTTTCTGTCGCTGACTAAAGTAACTAAATCATGCATGGAACCAACGATGGTGGTGGTGGCATTGACGACTTGCCTGGCATAATGAAATAATACGTCACTGGCATTTGAATGTGTTTTTGTTTTTATTAGTAGCTGGGTTCGAACGATGACAACAAACTACCACACATGCTAATTTGTTAACTAAATAAATATTTTACCAATAATTATATATTATACTAATCACAATGAAGACGATGTTGACGTTGATCATCATTGTCGTTTATGGTTGTTGGAATGGCACGCACTTTTTTTTACAACATAGGTCAGGGTTTAACCGTAAATAAATAACTGCAGCAACAAGTGTCTAATCTATTACCGGTTTGAAACAGACCAATAGTTGTAAATTCCAAATTGTATTGTCTAGAAGATAGTGAAATGACATTGAAATTATTTTTTAGGGACTATAAAAAGTGTGTTGAAATTTTGTGGGAACAAAGCTAATAAATTAATTAACATTGTATATTGAGTATTTTATATTGGAAGTTGGAACCTGGGCATGAATTATGTAAGCCTGTCTCAGGATTTGTAGTGAATATAGGAGTTTAGCTAAATAAATCTGAAAGAGGATTATCTTGCACAAAGATCGATCGTTAGATCGCCACATATAAATTGCCGGAGTTTCTGTATTCTGTAAAAAATACCGGTAAAAGAGGTTACTCAGAGGATGTAATATCTGCTCGTACAAATATAAATGTCCTTTTTTATACCCTCCACCATAGTATGGAGGGTATATTAGTTTTGTTTTTCCGTTTGTAACGCATCGAAATAATCATTTCCGACCCTATAAAGTATATATATTCTTGATCAAAATTCTATGACGATCTAAGCATGTCCGTCTGTCTGTTGTAATCACTCTAGCGTCTAAATGAATTGAGATAGAACGCCAAAATTTTGCATTTGTCTGCAGGCAGGCAAGTTCGAAGGGTACCCCCATATAAGGGTACCCCCAAATTTTCAGTATTTTGGGATTCTTGAGCGCGTTTTTCAACCAAATTCGCTGAAATTTGGTAAAATGGGCTCTTTTTGGATACCAAATTTCTCAACTAAAAATTATAATTTTAGGTCCACCTTTTCTGGTAGCCCCCATATAACGGTACCTCCCAATTTTCAGTTTTGGAGGGTTTTTGACCGCATTTTTTCACCGAATTGGCTGTAATTTAGTACTTTGAGTTCTTATTGGGTATCAAATCCCTCCACAAAAAATTATGAGTATAGGTCCATTTTTTCGGGTAGCCCCCATATAAGGGTACCCCCAATTTTCGGTATTTTGGGGTTCTGGAGCGCGTTTTTCAATTGAATTTGCTGCACTTTGGTATTTTGTAGTCGCATATGGTAACAAATGTCCCTACCTTTTATATTAAAATAGTTATATGATTTGTTCCGCGTTTTGAGTTTGGTTCTAAGACTCTGTTGTAATCATTTCACCTGCGGAGGATAGCGAGATAAAAAATTAGAACGTAAGCTTCGATAATGAACTATAGCCGCATTTAGACCTAGTCTCTGTGTGGAGGTTCCAGAAGGATTAGGCCGATTTTCCCCATCTTCGAATTTGAACTAAGTTTGGAGAAATAATAAGATGGGTAAATGGCACTAGTGACAATTTCTGTTTGTTTTTAATGTTGCGATCCGATACTCTAAACTCGTCTGGCGATTGCTGTTAATTTGTTACAACAAATTATTGAGTTCAGACTCCTTGTTCATTTCCTGTGAAACGCTGAAGTGAATTAGTTCCTCTGCGAACTGCACAACTGGTATATTGCGAACAATGCCTCAACATGACTACATGTCCCAATTTAAATCAGTGGTGGAAATTTTTGGGTCAGATTTGATAGTCACCGATTTTTTTTTTTTGTTCTTAAGCGAAAGAATTATTTTTTATTCCATCAGCATTTTTCTGATTTTTTGACAAGACATATATCTTAGTCATCTTGAGGGAAATTAGTTTCTTTATGAATCATTTCGCATATTTTTCCCACGAATCATTAATTGACCTCCATTCGAAATTTATTAAACCACAAAAGTTCCGTATACCATTTATCAGATTTGATCTGATTTTGAACATTTTAATGTCACATTTAAAATCAAATTTATCAACTTCCGCATTTTTAGGCCAAGCCCTGTTTCTCTTTTTATCATTCGTTATTAACCATTCCCATTAGTTGTCGTTGCTGATAAATATTCCATTTGTTTTTAAATTTAAATTATTCAGCTTTTATTTTAATTTGTTGTTTTTGTTGTTGTTTTCACTTAACATAATCAATCTCATTTAGTTTTAGCTAAAATAAAGGTGGGTGTTGGTACTGTGTACTGGCGACAAACTATCTATTCTATCTTTAAAAATTAATCCTACTAGTTTACATCGAGCGAACCAACGACTCAACGCCTTCTTCTCTGGGGATAAGTGGTGCCGTACGATGTCACAGCATTGGGCAACTTGGCATAGGGGGTACCCGCCTGCAATGGCAATGGAGCAATGTTCAAGGGGGTAATATTAAAGGGTAGCGGTAATTTCACATTCAACGATTTGCCCGAGGAGGATGGTGTAGCCTCTATCAATGATGAACTGCCGCTGCCAGTTGGGGCTTTCTTGAGCGCAGCGGATGTTGCACCGGTGGCATAGCCTTGACTGGTCAAGGCCATATTGAAGGCGACATTATCTAGAGCAGGTGAAACAAATTGTTGACTAAGCACGGAACTGCTGCTGCTGGGGAATGTCAATGGTTTGGATGACGATGCTGAGGCATAATAGCCACCTTGTTGTTGCTGAAGCTGGCTTGATTGCGGGAAATAGAACTGCTGCACCTGAGATTGTTGTTGCTGTTGTGTTTGGAATGATCGTTGCTGGTATTGATTTTGATATGTCTGGGCATATTGCAGTGGTTTAAATTGGGGTTGAGTGAACTGTAGCGATTTCGGTGGCGCGGGATAATGATAATAGCCTTCCGAATTTTCAGCATAGACACCATAAACCGTTACAACACACACTAACAAACACTAGAAACAAATAGAAATTATTTTAATATATTTTTTATTTTAAAATTTTTTTTTTTTCTACTTTTTTCACTCACATATTTCCACATTTTGCTTTGTTTCTCTTGGTTTTTCAAAATATCAAAAAATAAATTCTTTCTCACTTGGTTTAATGAAATTTTTCGAATTTCAATATGTTTTGCTTTTTTATATTTATTCTATATTTTCTTTAATCACTTTTATCTTTGCAGGATGGAGGTCTTTTGTTTTAAATTCTTAATTCGAAACTAAAATGTGAGAACAATTTTCTTTTTTTATTTTTCAAATCTTCCGAGCCGTTCCTATTGTTGTGTTTTGTTCACGAGCTTCTTAACTATTTCTAGGTTGTCGTTCGTTTAAGCTAAGTTAACTGATTAAACCGGATTCCCTAACTAAAGATGCTTTTTATAGAAATTGATTGTGTCCATTGACGTTTTCGGACAGCCACAGACGAAACACACAACAGCAAAAAATCGAACAACAACAACCACACCAACACCTCTGTTAACAACAACAGCAGCAAAAACACACATAGCCATGTTAATGTTGCTACTTGGCCTGATGATTATTGGTTTGTTGTTGTTGTTATATTTACCTATGAGCGTTGAGTGCGTGTGTCGATCGATTGATCGGTCGGTCACTCAGTCAGCCAGCCAGCCAGTGTCCGTATTGTTTTAATTTGTTATTGTTTAGGAATATTTTATTGGCATCACTTCTTGTGGCCATATGCTGCTGTTGTTGTTGTTGCCATAATGGTCAATCTGTTTGATAAAGACAGTGGTTGAAACTGTTGTGTTATTGTGACAATATTTACTTATTGAATTTTTTGTTTTCATAAATGATGTGTGAATATTTAAACTAGGTTATTACAGTGCTTTTATGGAATGTTAATATTTTTCAATTGTCTCATTAAAATTTCAAAAATGCATGTGGGTGGTAATTTTGTAAACTAACGGTAAATATTTATTGAATTTATATGCATATTTTAAAATTTGAGAAAATTAAATGAATTCAGCGTATTTTTATTGTGGTATTTTGAAGGGTTGGTCGTATGAGGGTATATACACTTTGATACGGTGAAAATGTGCCTCATCGAAATATTGATTTCAGAGCCAATGTTTCATTGGACGAAATCTGTTTCAGAATTTGGAGTCTAGTATTTCTTCCAAACTTAGTTCAAGTTCAAATACCTCCCCCAAAAAATTGTGCAAAACATTAATTTTATAATATTATACGAACTCTCCTACAGTTGGTCAAAATTTTCAAAATTTATAAATACAATATCAGGCGACAAAATTGATTTGCAAAAAAGACCAATCAAGCCTAGATCAAGTTCGAAGATGAGACCCATTTGTCCACTACTTCAAGTTCTCCCACAGAAAGGGTCTGTATTTTATAAACTTGTACATGTTATTAAATCGAAGCAAATTGAATAACCTCTTTGATAAACTCTTTGATAAAAACATACCTTATATAAAGCGACTAATAACATCTGTGTGTAATTCCGAAGCCCTCCGCAAACCAAACATTTACATTTATGAAACTCAGTGTTGGGTGCCACACCAATTAACAGAAAACCAGTGAGCGGAGCAGTATAGTCGGACGGGGCCGACCATAGGATACCCTACACAACTACCACGGAACTCAAATTTTCTGCGGATGTATATTCCGAGCCTGGGCAATATTTCGTGATATTTGCACCCTCTTGCCCGATTAGTGGTAAACAGCAACTCTTCCTCAAACTGACATATTTTCCGAATATTACGAGTATTCAGTACAGGTATTGTCCAGATTCCCTTCACCGTGGGTTGTGTTGTGATGTTCGGCTTTCTTTTGGGATCTATAGATCGACTCGATAATAACACAAAAATAACACAAAAAAATTAAGTTTTCGGTCCACTTCATTCCAAAATTATTATCTGATCATCACCGAAAATTATAGGTGTTGTCCTTGACCATAACTGGAACCTCATGGAACATTTCAAAGCGATCAGCGCTATAGTTCCGCTCTCTAGAGTTATAATGGGTTACTAAATAATATACGAATACGGAGATACCTGTAAATATTTAGGTGTAACTCCCAATATAATTGGTATTAATTTAAAGGTCAACCACTCCTCTTGGATATAATATAAACTTTTCGGGTCTATGTCCTTCAGGGGTAAATATATACGCAATAGAATAAAAATTTTGTCAAAAGTCAGGGTCCATTTGACCCACTAAATATTGACCGATCTTTATGAAAACAGGCATGCTTATTCTTTGGCTTGATCCCCTTCTCCATGGAAAATTTCACGATGTTTGGGCCACAATTGCGGCCTCTGGAGCGACCAGAAAAACCGACAAAAATTTAGTATTTGGTCCATTTCATCCCCTAAATATTAATCGATCTTTCCCAAAAACAGAACCCATCCTACATCCTACGTGAATATTGGTCCATAACTGTGGCCTGTATCGTGTTTACAAATTATAATGGACAGACGGACGGACACACATGTCTAGATCGACTTCAGCTAGTATAATTTCCGATCGGTATGCTTAAAGGTGGGTCTAGGACCAATATTTCGCGGCGTTACAAACTTTTGGGGGTGCACAAAGCTATAATACCCTGACAACATAGTTGTGTTGGGTATAAAAATGGGATGGGTAGAAATTCCATCTGCGAAGCCTTGGTCGAACGGAATGAGATCATATACGATAACCCTGTGCGAAAACGGTCGTGGTCAAAGAGCGGCGAAGCATCTCAAACGGTGGCCAAACCATGACTAACGGCCAGGAAGGTTTTGATATGCTGGAAGGGGATTATTTATTATGAGTTGCTTTCATATGACCAAACGCTAAATTTTGATCTCTACTGTCAACAACTGTGACCGTTTGAAGATAGCAATTGGTTGGGAAGTTTTAATGCATCCGCCATATAGTCCGGATTAGGCAACAGGCGATTATCATTTCCTTCTTGCATTGCAAAATTTCTTTAATGATAAAAAATTTGTTGTTTGTAATATGTCGGAGTATTCACCTGAGACCTAATATTGTAAACTATTTTTGTTCGGAATATAATTCTAGGGATATTTAGTGATGTCTGCTTGAACTGTCCCAATATGTAATAGAGATAATAGATAGAGATTTGAGATAATAGATATAAATTTGAAATTTTGCAAATAAATTTTTACTATTCCTGGAAAGTTTGGATGAAAGCCATAGGTCGTCCACCCTTTCTGTTACCTCCCCAACAAATCCTCATAATTAAATATACAAATTGATCCAAATATTGCATATTTTTTTACCAAACATTGGTTCAGTCCGAAAGTAGAATTCATTGGCTCATTCATTCTTTACCCTCTTCCACAATGGTAAAAATTCGAAAATTTAACCCCTAATTGATATTCGAATCGACCCAAACTTGATACATAAGAAGAGGTGACCCATCTGTCCACATATTGTGCTATAAGGGTGTGCTATTAAGGGTGGTTATTAAGGTGTGAAAATGGGACCCCATTAAACCATTCCTTCTATCTATTTTCCAAAAAGAGCCAACATTTTCAAAACGTGTGTATCTCATATATCATCTCAGAGATCTAAAAATTCTCTTAAATGGAGACTGAACGCATTTTTAACCAATAAGGCAGATATTTTCGCAAAAAAAAAATTGCCAATGTATATAGATAATTTTCTATAAAGAAATTTTTTACCTTCAGATAGCCAGATTATCGAAGATATATGAATGATGTTTTATCACATTATTTTAATTTGTTTATACGTATACAAAAATTGCGGGACGACAGCACTTGCAAACAATTTCACATATCTGTTCTATCTATAAAAATAATTTAACTAATACCCCATACATATATATTTATTTATTATATTCATATTTGTTTTCTATTTCAAACCACTGTGAAGAAATAGTTGCCTTCTCTTGGACATTTTTTGTTCGCTTTTTTTCTTTGCCTCTTGTACTTGGCGTTATATTCGTATATTAGTTCAAACATAACAGTTGCTTCTTCTCGAATATTTGTTGTTGTCGTTGTTGCTGTTTTTTGTCATTACAAGTATTTATATATAAATATATAATTTAGTCGTTTGTTGTTACCCGAAACTGTTTATTCCGGCATATGTTAAACAAATGCAAAACATATTTAGTATGTGATGGCATTCAATAATGTCCAAAAAGTATATTCGAGATTGTGTTTACGGGAATGTTTTTGGAATCCACTTAAAAGTGACTTTAATTAACGCATATCAACAATAAACAAGAATACAAAATAGTTAAATGCTTTGTCGATTGCGATATTTGTCAAAGAGACTTAACAAATCATTCAACCACAGAAATAAAAAGAGACATAATGTTGTCAGGTGTCACATTAAAATTCTTTTGAATTGCAAAAAAATTGGCCACCGACAAAGGGGCAAAAAATTCGGCATCGATTTCGTTTCATTTGGTTTTTTTTTGTGGGAAATCCCAAAAAAAGCTATTAAAAAATAAAATAAAGTTAAATTAAATTAAATAGTGTGTTCCTTTATATCTCACATCTAATGTATTAATAAACAACAAAAAAAAAAACAAAAAACAACCAAATATGGTTCGCAAAATGCAGAACGGCACAGAAAAATTCGGCTTGTTTTAACACTTTTGGCACTATTTACCTACTGAACGAAGGTTAGATTATTTTCATTATAGTTTTTTAAATTGTATGCAATCTATTATGTTTTCAGTTTATTATTTTATTGATTTGATAATCAATACAGTTTGTCGGTGAAATATTTTCAAAATGAAATTGAAAATCATTAAAAAAAATTTTTAAGTAAATTCATGCTTTGTTGGCGATTGCAAAAAAATAAATAAAGACATTTTTTGTACCCTTCACCACACTGTGGTACAGGGTATTATGTATTTGTGCATATGTTTGTAACAGGCAAAAGGAAACGAGATAGACACACGGTTCCTTTTTGGAATATGCATAGAATCACTTTCTGAGCCGATTTACGCATGTCCGTCTGTCCGTCCGTCTGTCCGTCCATGTATTTTTGTGAACAAAGTACAGGTCGCATTTTGATCCGATTTGGATGA